ATGCTGTTGAAGCAGAGCTATATAGAAAGAGAGCGAGTAGTACCCAGGCTGTTCACGCTAGACTTCGCATTGGTCCTCGTCCTCACCAATGACCCTCAACAAGCGCTATATGAGCGCTAGTGGCGTACGTCGGGATGTCGCCGCCCAGGAGGCATTTCAGCGTGAGCGCCAGGTCTCGATATATCGGACCTCGATCGCACTTCCTCCTGTTCCTGACTTTCTTATCCAGTGGACAAACCCTATCATGATTCACTGCTAATCATGATTGTCGCTCATTCATAGAATGTTTCATCACCGCCCAAGAAGGGTGGCGACCTCAAATTGAGGATCGACTCGACTAGACTTCTACGATATTTAACTGCGATATCATGTCTCGACTCTCATCCACCCCCCCTCCTTCCTCATCCTGTCTTTGCTTCCCTTGATCTGTCGTTCTCTCACCCCCTCCACTTAAACGTAATGACAAACTGGGAAGACCCTGAGCACCTCGCCCAATCCTATAGTTCGCACACCTTTTGCCCCACACCTTGTCTAATATCTTTACTCTTCCCCTCTCTGCAGTTGATTTCATTAAGTTAGAACATGTTCTTGCCGGGATATACCTGTTCGCCTTTACATGCTCTCTTCGATGGAATATTCAACCTTGTTCAGCTGGGAATTCTTTATCAATCTTCATTATGAATGGTCTTTCATTACCCGTAAACGTAAATGGCTCTGGACAGTAGGGGTCCGTACTTATCTCCAACTCACCTGCCTTACAACTCAAACTGACCCCTCTATAGGTTTATATTACTTGCCGCTTTAGCGCTCTCCTCTCCACAATAGTGAATATATTCGTTATGGACACAAATAAGAAGATTAACTGTCAAGTGCGCATACTATCACATCGTCCGCCACCGTACTTTACAAGATTATCTCGTGCACCTTAAGATATGGATCATCTTTTGCGAGGTCTGATTCATGTTTCTATCTTAACGCATCATAATTTGACCTTAATTGCCTCTAGATCTTGGCGTTGATAGCCCTAGCCTCAGGGTCGTTCTTGATCGTTGTGCGCATGTATGTTTCCCAAATGATAAATAATGACATTCGCTCATGTATATTTGCTCATGTATATTAGCTCTGCAATTTGGGAGCGGAAGAAACACATTATGATCTTAGCAGCATCAGTCTGGTCTGTGAATGTGGGATTTTGGATTCACTGTTAGCATTCCCTTTGTGATGTCCCGAATTATGTTTTCATCACGCGGATAGATATCACCCAGGTAAAATCCCTATTCGTTCATATCTCTGCGTGTCGTTGCCTTCCACTAATCTTCGTGCACAGTCCCGCTCGACATGGAGCCCAATAGGCAATATATGTCTCAGTCTTTCCACCTCCAGGGCACAGCCACTATCCATTGTTATGTTTGTTACGGATATGATTCTCTTAATTATCATGCTAGTCGGCTGTGGCGGAAAGGCGAATTTCAGAGGTCTGGTCTTTGGAACCTGTTGTGGACCCAGGTCTGTCCCATGCGACCTGCATCCATTGGTCCATACCTGATTGTGTGCCTACAGGGTTTGACATGGGTCGCGCTTGCCGCAGTCGCGGACATCCCTATGATTGTACGTTCATTAATACCTTCCGAAGTTGCTTCTGAGGTGAAAGTTTCAGGTTATGCTTCACCTCAACTTGAACGGTGTGTCTCTACGCTTTTTGTTTCAGCACCTGACCAGTCTAAGCCATGATTTCCAGATCCCTGGAACGTGGTATGTCCGTTCTATATGGCGCCATTCCTAATTGCAACTAAATCTGCACGCACGTAGATGTTCCAAACAGGTGCTCGTACGTGTTTATGAATATAAAATCATATTTCCGGTTCTTACCAGGGCATCCTACCCTTTTTATGGGCCGTCGTAGTGATTGTGCTGTGAGTGAGATCATCCGTTGTCGTTCTTTCATCTCTCTTAAGAAAGGTCACAGAGTGATTGGTTCGACTAGAATGCATAGAACGCTGACTAACTGGGGTGCTGTTACTGAATATGTGTACGTGGATTTTCTGTAGCTTCCCGAGGTTACAGTGATAATTGTTGTCTAGTTCTAACCGGCCAGCTGCATTTCATGGGACCGTGTCGACGGGCGGGATGGGATTTCGCACGGGGGCTCAACTCACACAGCTGCTTCGCTGCGTCCTGCTGAGGTCGCCATACGTATGGGTTCGGAACAATATACGCTCATTCAGGCACAATCGGACAAAACGCTATCGGTTGCTGACATCAGAACGAGAGCGAGCACGTAACGTGGGTATGCGTCCCCCGATTAAAATGGATATCCCGCCGTACTTCGCTGAAAGACTGCTGAGTTTTTGTTTGCTATGCCCATCTGCTGGCACATGCTGTTATTGCCTGTCCACGGTTTGATAATGTGTTTACTACCTTGTTGGGAGCTCTTGAGTTGTCAGATTGTGGAAAGGACAATAGGATTTCATTTCATTTTCCACCGCCATGATGAAGGGTCGTGTCCTCATCATAAGAAACACATGACATGAATAACCCCTTTCTTTCACCAATTTACGTAACGAGGGATGTCACGCACGCAGCATGAAATGCTGAAGAGACGTGTTTATGTACGTCCCCTGTCACCCCCATATCTCGGTTCCGGTGCACTGTATGAGAGGCGCGGAGTGCTGAATACCAGGAGCAGGGTAGTAAGGTTGGAGGTTGAAAGCAGACACAAAGTTGTAAATGCCCCTGCCTTAGTACGTCAGATACTGAGGAATGTGACCCTCTTGGGATCAATCCTTCCATCGGATATGCCAGAAGTAAAGCGCAAAAGCAAGGTGGCAAGTTGGTTTAGGCAACATGGCGATCAGGGATCAGGATGTGTGCTTGTCTTGAGGATCATCAGGTGACTATAATTGGCTGCTACACGTTAGGCATTAAGCAATAAAGCGAGGTGGTGATGCCAGCCAACCAAAAAGACGTCTTGGAGAACAATGTAAATTCCCACTAGACGCGATCCGCGAAATGAAAAAAAAGGTAAATTAAAAAAATAAGATGGTAAAATAAAAGAAATACGGGTCGGGCACATAGTAACTGCATCGCCCCTGGAAGCATGCATTCTCTTAGTTCAAGATATGCACCGCCCACTAAAAAAATTCACGACAAGTCCGACACCGACGTAATATAGTACCGCCAAACGATGTGAACTAGTACACTTTATCTATGTGAATATTAACACATCTCTGGGAAAAAGGAGGGGCATCTTTCAAACCTTAAACAAGGATCCACAAGTTAAGATGAGATGTCGTCATCTGGGAGCTGTGGAGAGAGTGTAACGTTTTCCAGCCCATCAGCGTTTTTTGGAGGACAATTCAACATCCCGGGCCAAGCACAGACTGGTCTGGATGAAGCTCGGTGTGTTGAGCCGGTAACGGATCAAGATAGGCCGGACCGGATCAGAGGTGACCGGTATTGCCGGTTTTAAGTGTTTAATTGTTAACCACCAACCGCTATCTAAATAGACAGCTATAATACTTTTTACAGCTGCGTTTATCAATCTCTACCACACACTGTATTATTCTTGCTACCCATTTAGGTAAGATATTAATCAACAGTTTGACCTTTTATATGGTTCGATTTCTCCTCCGCCTTAAATACCACATGGAATCGCTTTATCTTTGTACAGTGTCTGGTAAAGAAAGCCGTGGAAGATTTTCAATGATTGATAATTGAGAGTTAATGTGGACATCCTTGGAATAAGATCATGAGTTTTGATGGTTGTTAACCGGGAAGTGGCCTACCGTGGCTTGGCTTCTTACCGTCGATGGGTATTTTTTGAACTGTCAAGCTATTCAAAAGTTCTCCTGACCTTTGTACAGTTACAGCTGTACAAAAGCACTTCCCTGCTTTCTTTAAGTCCCTTAATTATGGCAGTGGCAGACGAAGCGATCAAGGGCATGAAAGTGAAAGATCGTATGCTCACCCTCCCTCCTGCAATCATGCTACATATGGGCTTTACCTCTTCCTGCATTCCGCACTCCTCAGTTCTCCACTTATTATATCATTTCAGTTCCCTGCCTCGGAAAGAGAGTGATTGTCTTCGGAGCAAGGCACGTAGTGCATACTTTCGATACCGTGAACTCGCCCACATGCTCCCCACCACACTCTCACGTCCGCTCTTCTTACAAAGCTATGTAAGCGCTCAAGTTGAGATGGATGCACGTCCCCTGGGACGCAGCTAATAGACACGGCGTTCAGGAATGGACTGTTCTGTGGATACTTCCCTCTCTTCCCTCGGAACCGCTCTTGCATCGGTCGGATAAAAATAACTGGTCTGCAAGTCAACAAGTCAACAAGTAGTTCTCTGTGGAGAAAATAACTAGCTTGCCATTCACATCCACCTAACTTACTCTTCTCTTTCCCATTCCCAAACATCTGGACCGTCGAGGATTGGCATCGCATAAATGAGTGATGAGCGGAGAGACTTCAACGGCCTCTCTTTCAACTTGTCCTCTTCATAATCCACATCAAGCACAAACACCAACTGGAGCTCTCTGTCAGGTTTCATGCTGCAGCCTATGAACCAGAATGCGTCTCTGACTATAGATCGAATAGTATAGTAAATAGTCGTGTCCACTGCTAAAGGTTTTGTTCTGGATCGTGTACGTGGAGGGCAGCCACTTATTCACGGTTTATTGCAAAACCTTTGATTTACTGTTTAGAAAGAATAGTAAGAATAGTATGCTTGAGTGAAAAATGTTGGTTGTAGAGGATGTAGAGACAGGAGAGTGCTAAGAGACAGGAGACAGGAGTACTTGTGAGATTGGCGTGGGAGACGCTTACGACATAGTCTTATATGGCTAGATTGTTACCGGAGATGGCGGCCCCCGCATATTCAAATAAGGTAGACTTCTTCTACCACAAAGACTTGTTGTGAAGCCTAGTCATGGCACATTGGACATGGGTGGACTGGCTGTGGCTAGGGCACAGCACACATTTGGAGGCCTGAGGCCTGAGGTTGTGTAGCTCAGTGGTTAGAGCATCAGTCCTAGAATGTCTCGGGGTCTTGGGTTAAATCCCTAATATGGCCCCTCAATCAGGGTGCTGAAACCTCAACAAGACTGAGATTAGTGCTATTCACACTTTTCACACTCAAAGGTATATTAATCCTATGATTTATAGCCTGCCCAATTCAAAGAGTGTTAAAGCAGTCCCTTGTCCCCCAGTAACATCCAGCACGTCCCTACCCTCTTCGACTTCGTCGCGTCGCACGGGCTCCCTCCTTTCTGTTCTCTGCCACCACTCACTCACTCTTCTCTTTATGGAATACGCTTTGCTTTGCACTCACCGCAGATTGGATCCGTACAAGAGACTAGTTGAAGGGAGTAATATTATCGTGTGAATGAGGGCAGGAGTTTTGGATTTAAGAGGACAAAACTGAGCGATACAGGACGTACAGAAAGAGCAGGCAAATGGCCCGAACAACGAAGTAAATACTGCGTTTTGTTAATCAACGATTTCATTTCGTACCTGTATCAGAGTCTGTCTGAAAGTGCCAGATATTTTTATTAATCAAAGCTGTTAGGAAACAAGAGCATATGCTTTGGTCCGGGTGAGGCCTCACGGCTAGCACCCGAGAGCTATCCTTAAAACAACTAAGATAATAATAACCGAGCTAAACACTGTCCTGAAAAGAAAACATACATACAAAGTAATCCCTTTGAATTTTACAATACCCTTGAAAATATGCTGCTCCGAAAGCAGTTCTACACTTGTAGCTCTACACGTTTATCCTCGCACCGTGCTCAATCAACCATTTCTCGATCTCCAAATTTCCACTGAATGCCGCTGCCTGCAGAGCATATCCGTAATGGCCACCATTCGCATTGATATCAGCGCCATGGTCTAGCAGCCATTTCATAATCTCCAAATTTCCATTGAATGCCGCTGCGTGAAGAGCATATCCAAAACTGCCACCCTTCGCATTGACATCAGCACCATGGTCTAGCAGCCATTTCAAGACCTCCAAGTACCCATTGAATGCTGCTGAGTGCAAAGCATATCCAAAATGGCCGCCCTCGGCATTGACATCGGCACCATGGTCTAGCAGCCATTTCGTGATCTCCAAATTTCCGTGGATTGCCGCTGCGTGCAGAGCATTTACATAATCGCCACCCTCTGCATTTATATCAGTGCCATGGCCAAGCAGCCATTTCATGATCTCCAAATTTCCATGGTATGCCGCTGCGTCTAGAGAATGTCTATGATCGCTGTCCTCCGCATTGATATCAGCGCCATGGTCTAGAAGCCATTCCATGACCTCCAAATGCCCATTGTCTGCTGCTGCCTGCAGAGCATATCCATAATCGCCGCCCTCTGCATTGACATCAACGCCATGGTCTAGCAGCCATTTCATAATCTTCAAATGCCCATTGAATGCCGCTGCATACAGAGCATATCCAAAACTGCCACCCTTTGCATTGACATCAGCACCATGGTCTAGAAGCCATTTCATGACCTCCAAGTGCCCATTGAGTGCTGCTGCATGCAGAGCATATCCGTAATTTCCGCACTGCGCGTTGACATCAGCGCCGTGGTCTAGTAGCCATTTCACGATTTCCATTTGGCCTATCGCGCATGCCGCTTTCAACGGTGTATCATATTTTCCACCTCGAGAATTCACACTCCCAGGTTGCTTGATGCCCAGATATTCCACTAGCCACGGGAAGCCGCATCGAGCCGCGTAATATATTGGGTGTACCGAAGTGTCTTTTGTCCCCACCAGAATGGGCCTGTCCGGGTCATATATTCCAATCCAAGCTTTGAAATAGGTCTTGTCTGAGTCGAATAAGGATTCTATTGCACCTCGTACACCAAGGAAACATCCTCGAATCCTGCGTGATCGACCCAGTGTACTGCCGCGTATCGAGACAATGGGAAGATTAAGATAGTATTGGTGTCCTTGGTCTTGTCAAATTCTAGCAGCGTGCTCAAGCATGTCTGCGCAAGCACTCTATGTGATTCTTTGGGGAGCACATGGTAGCGCTTTTCCGTTGATCCCGCCAGCCGGTCTGACATCAGGAATTCTCGCACAGAGAAGTGCGCAAACTGTACAACGCGGCTCTCTTCATCCTCGTCATCGACATGATTGACAATGACAACCAAGCTGGAGCACGTGGAAAGTACAGCTCCGTCACAGTCCTCATCTCGCCAAGTTACGTCGTACGTCGGCATATTACCAGGCTCGAAATCAAATTCAAGCATCGTCGCAACCTCCTCGACTCGGAGTGGACGCGCAGAGAACGCAAGGCATTGGAACAGACGATGAGCAAATTTCCAGTCCTTCTCGTCGATCCTCCGCAGCGTGGCCTCATATGTTTCATCCAGTGTTTCTGGGAGTGATTCAAGCGTTGAACGGAAGTTCCTCGGTTTACAGCGGCGCAATGTCTCCAGTTGGCAGAAAACCCATCTGAACCTACACCACGGCATGAATAATGATCGCGAAATAAATACTCGTTTTGGTTTGAGGCTTACATTCCGTTTGCCTTTTCCGAGAGCATATTGATCGCCTGTTCCTTTCTCTCTGCCTCCCAACACTCATCATGGGGTCCGTATTGACGGTCGAGTGGATATATTTTAAGATGTCCTGCGTTTGCCCGCCTTCTGCATGAAGGGATACACGATGCTGGGCCAGATTTGTAAAAGCTGTCTGAATGTCCGGTTCAGGGCGGCTAGTAACGCAGATCCTTAAATTTGGGAGGCGGAGGCCAACAAGGTCTTTGATAAGTGTCAATACTTCGCCACGTTTAGACGGCATTCCAGATAGGGGACATTCGTCGAGGGCGTCAATAATGATGTACATCACGTCCTGAGTGGGTGTTACGAGCATAGTCTTCAAAGTTTCCACAAGAACCTTCTCGTCGGCTGCTTCTGGCCGTTATTATGTTTCGAGTACAATTCAGAGACGATGGTACGGTAGGCGTCTGACTGGAAATAGAACTGTATCAAGAGAGAGGACAGTAGACCACGGATATTTTGCTTTTCCTTGTCTCGAAAGTCGCAATAAAATATGCAAAGTAGGCAGATCCAGCAGAACACGGACACTGGACATCCTCAACGATGGTGGAACTGATCATATAAATGAGTGCTAAAGATACCCTATAAGGCTAGGCAAATGTACCAAAGGACGCTCTTTCCAGAGCCCGCTTTCAAGAAAAGACCGTCAGCAACAAGAAACACCCAAATAGCGCAGTCACCCTACCATTCCCATTTAACCACAGAAGCGAACCCTCCGACTTCCACTCCTGGAATGTTTGGCCTTCAACGAACCACTTGGCGGTTCCCTCGTGGTAATGTTTGCGCGCGAAGTTGTGGTTTGTGGATGGATCAGGAGGTGAAAGCCATGTCCGAATGTCCTTGTTCATCTGATCATCTACAAAAGCATGCCTCAGTTGCCTTGTCTATAATTTTGCTACCCAAGGGATGACGAACAGATCATCTTGTTCACATTACCAAACGTGTGTGCCGCCACGATGAGAGACTCTTCCTGGGTCAATCTGTCCAACCTCTGCAAGGCGTCCTGGACCTCATTATCCCCTATCAGCATCCGTCCATACGTCCCTGCCAAGCGTTTAATCGCGGGAACATAAAAGCGGTAGTTCACTCACTGAGTCGTCCTTGTTGAATCTGTTTCGTCGCCAGAGCGAGGATGGTGAGCAGTTCCGCCATCGTCTTGACGAGGATCTCGACCATGGCTCAGTAACAGGGGTCTCGCGGGAAGTGTAAATCTTGAGTCGGTTAAGAAAGCGTTTCATGGATTCGAAGAGGTCGAGTAGAGAATCGTAATTATCACTGATCTTCTTTGATGCCTTGGAATGAAGGTGAGATAACCGATTGTAAGCAAGGGAGGGAGATACGGACAGAGAGAAGAACATCAATAGCAGAAAATATGGCCTGTGCGGGTGGAAACACCTGAAAATATATATATATCAGAAGCCGGTCATAATGAATGGGCCACACTAATTAGGACTCACCGAACCAATACTATTTATGAGTGGTGCGTAGTTCGAGAGGGCAAGGAGTGTATTCACGATTGGTTTAAGTCCCCTTAGAAGCTGCGTCTTGTGATCGTCGTTCCGGAACTTGTTAAACAGGGATGTTCCTCTTGAAGTACGTCGACCACGGCGTCCGCGGTGTCACATCCTTTCAGCTTGTCGAGAAGCCGATGTTCGGACAAATTTATGCCTGTTTTTGTAAGATACTGATCCAGGGCGGCATCTAGGATGAGCTTAAAATGAGAAGAGGAGGTAGTTGTGTGGGTGTGTGTACGAGGAGCTGAAGACATAAAGGTAGACTGGGTAACAGGCGATAGAGGGAAGAGTTGGAGGATCGATGGCCGAGCGCGGCTGAGGTTAGATAAGCGAAGCCACCTGTTATGTTGGTCAAAACTATATATTATTAATTAGTCTTTACAACTCTTTACAGCAAAACGAAGTGAATTCTACACTAAAAGTGTTCTTAAGTACTGGTAACCAAGACAATAAGGACTGTGTCTAATCAACTAAGTATTCACAGGAAGGTAAAACGTAGTTCAAGTGCTGCTGCACAGCACACAGCTCGACTATCAGCACAACATAGTTAGCGATTGATCCGAGCTGGGCAATTGATCCGTTTCCGACAAGTAGTACCCAGGCTGTTTGCGCTAGGCTTCTCATTTGTCCTCGTCCTCACTAATGACCCCTCGAGCGCTAGTGGCGCACGTCGGGATGTCACCGCTCAAGAGGCATTTGAGGGTGAGCGCCAGGTCTCGATATATCAGACCTTGATCTCACTTCCTCCTGTTCCTGACTTTCTTATCCAGTGCAAATATCGATTTTCGCTCATTCATAGAATGTTTCATCACTGCCCAAGAGGGGTGGCGACCTCAAATTGAGGATCGACTAGACTTCTATGATATTTAACTGCGATATCATGTCTCGACTCTCATCCCCCCCTTCCTCATCCCGTCTTTGCCTCCCTTGATCTGTCGCTCTCTCGCCCCTTTCACTTAAACGTAATGACAAACTGGAAAGACCCGGAGCACATTGCCCAA